TTTCTGAAATGCTATTATTCAGAATTAAAATTTCTGCAAAACTATAAAATGTGTTCTTCAAAATAATTACCTCACAGGATCTGCAGAAATTATTGTTATGCAGAGGTTGCTCATCAGGTTCTTCCTTCTTGACGCTGCCAGCACCTGCTCCTGGTAGTGCAGTGGCGGCCGACCAACAGCCGCTGTTCGTTACAGGATTTATCTGACTGCCGCTACCTTCCTGGCAATCACGATGTTTCACTGCAAAAGCAGTGGTTAGATCCGCTGCATGGACAGTGAATAGATTTGAAACCCAGGCAGCAGTACGCACCAGCGTTTCCGGTGCGATCATGTGTTTTTATGCTAAACTTGAAATAATACAGTTTAACATGTACACTCATGGTGGCAATATTTTGGTCTTTTCCTACATGCTAGAGGAAGAGGATGACGGCAAGACGCGTCATGAGGCAGCGTGAAATCTTCTAATATAAAAATTTCGAGTAAGGGAAATGAAAAATTTCCGGTGGCCAATCGCCCATTGAAAATGCAAGATGGACAATGATCAGTATATCGAAAAAGAAGGATAACGAGCTCCCCGTCAAAATTTTAATGTACCCCTGTACAAGAGACATCGGCATAATTAAAAATTTAACGCCTTTGGATCGCGTATATCGACAGAGAACGTCCTCTTAAAATTTGAACTACTTAGTCATTCTAATTTCCGAATTAGCCACTTTCCCGTCGATACTTTACACATTCGAAAGTAAGAACCAAGCTTATTCAGAAGCTGAATCTGAATACTTTGCATCGCACACGGGCAGGAAATATCCTCCTAAAATTCCAGCTTTCTAAATTACCCGATTCATTAGTTAAGAATTTTCCTACTAATACTTTCACGCGCCGTGCGTAAGATTCGGACGTGTGTGAAAATTGATGCCAAGCTCCTGGGCTTCATTTGGTCAAAAAACCTATCCATCCCAGCACGTAAGTTTTTATGTGTTTTTGCTGTGCAGCACTATAGCAAAAACGCATGTTGTCGAGAGGCTGTGTGTATGTTCGGAAGCGAGTGCATTTTGTCACCCACTTTTATCTCAGCAACTAGGAAAGCTGGGAGGCTGAGACACTGGGTATATGTTTCTATTCCGTGTGTGACTCTCCCGTTTCAAGATCTTCCCCACACGCGCCTAAACCGCACGTACCGACTCCCGAAAAAAATATGCAAATTTCATTGACGGGAAACAGGCAAGATACAAAGCTAAAACTTTGCAGGAACATTCTCTGTACTTGTGCGAGCTAAAGATTTCAAATTCAGCTGTCGCGCACGCATGTACAGCGCGTACGACCAGGTCAGAGTTTTCAACTTGGTACTATTCTAACTCTAAAACTTGCCGGAAAGCAGTGGCTGAAATTTTGTCAGAATGTTTGTCCCCCACATAGGAAATAGTATACCTAAAATGAGTACCGATTTGCACCTGCGCACGATTTAGGGCAGTTCAAAGATATTTTTAGCAAAGTGGATATTTCGCTTGCCAGATAAGCTGCGAGGCTGAAAATTCGCTGTGATATACTGCTTTCAAGTGCGGCCTTAATTCTGCTTGGAGGTAGAATTTCCTGCAGGCAGGCGTGAGAAATACTCAACTTTACAGAAAAATCAGAAAAAAGTGCGTTTTGCAGCGAACGACCGCTCTAATCCAAATATGTAAATGAATATTAGTTCATTTGCTTACTCAGATTTTT